CCCTACCTGGATCCTGTACAGCTGACTGCCAGATTTAACCCACCTTACTCCAGACAGGAGCCTCAAGTGTTCCAATTAGCCCAGAAAAGTGGCTTTAAAATATGAACTGGCCAGATCTTACCCAATCTGCCTACAGTGAAGTCCAGCAGCTGGCAAGTCACACCGAGAAGCAGAGAAATTCCAAACAGCAGCTCAGAGCCTTTCTCCTAGATGGTCATCAGATATTGAGGGACAGATTTCTGGAAGGCAGAGACTAAACAACAATCCAGAAGAAAAAAAGAAAGGGAGGGAGGAAGGCAGAGAGGGTGGGGGAGGAGAGAGAGAGAAAGGAAGGACGGAAGGGAGAGAGGGAGGAAAATGGAAGGAAGGGATGGAGGAAGGAAGGAAAATTAAACAATTCAAAGCAGGAGGCAAAATATACAATTATTTTCCCCAAAATTCATATTAGTAGTCATAATGAGAAGATGTTACAAGTATAAAACAAGAACAAGGGCTCAAATAAGAGAAGAAGAAAAAGAAAGAACATCTGGACATTAAAAATATTAGCACAGAAATAAAAATGCAATTGATAAATGAGAAGATACATTTGAGGACACACCTCAGAAACTCCAACATAAGAACAGAGGTGAAAAATAGGAGAAAATGATGTGGTCTGTTTGGAGGTCCAAGTCCAAACAATCAAGAGAGAAAATGGAGGGGAGGAAGAAGTAATAGAAGAACATTTTCCAGGAGTAAAGAAAGTAAGTTTCCAGGCTGAAGGGGTTTTCAAAGAACCTAGTATAACAAAGGAATTCTCACACCAAAACTTCATATCACCAGAAATAAAAGGAGATTGTAAAGGCTGACAAGGAGAAATAGTTAGAGGTCAGAATGGCCTTCAACTACAGAACAAAGCTTTTAAAATTGAGAAGGAAAATGACTTCCAACTTAAATTCTATAGCCTGCCAAATTATCAATCAGGAACAAGTATAGAATAGAGACATTTTCAGAAATGCAGGGTCTTAAAAAGTTTACCTCCTATGTAACTTCTTAAAGAAGTTACTGAAGGATGTGCTCCATCAAAATGAGGGAGTAAACTGAGAAAGAGGAATGGAATCAGCAAGTCATCTACCCAGCACAGGATGAGGGAGAAAGGGAATTTTCAGGAGGATGGAAAAAAGACCAGGGAACCAGCTGTACAGCAGCTGGAGACGAAAACCAATCCAGAACAGAGCAGGAGAAGAGAGGTGGTCAGGCAGAGTGACTCTAGGAGTAAAAAATGAAAGTGGTAGATTCTCTGACACGTTTGACTGTGCGAGGAGACATCTACAGTTGTACAGAAGATGTCACCAGAAATTTGAACACCAATTTTTTTGAAAGCAATTAAGTGCAAGAAAAATAAAACATCCTACAATGGCCTCCTATAAGAACTATTAAATTTTTCTCTCCACAATGTCTCTTGACAAATTATACCACTTTTCAGACAACAAGCATTTTCTGTCTTTCATTTTATTTTTACTTTTGGGATAACAAAATTTCACCCCAAACACACTAAATATATATGCCATAAAGAGTGATAGTCTGACATTATAATTGTAGGCAATGGAACATTTGCCAATTGATTCAACAGTTTCCAATCAGAGACCGGTGTATTGGACAAATGTGAGATACTTACTATGTTTGGATGAGCCCCAGATACTTTGTTATGCAAGGACTGCCAAACACGGAAGGCCTTCTGCAACCCTTCAGTCTGTGAGGTGTGCACCCTCTTTCCTTGTGCTTCCAAGCACTCTCATGTTTAGCCTTTATTTAGTCCTCGAAGTGTTTTATCACACTCCAAATTAAGTACAGCTTGCGTGAAGGATATCCAGGAACCCAAAAAGTTTTGTGAAAAAAATGACACAGCAAGAACATACCTTCTAAAGAATGACTCCTCCAACTTAAGTCTCCTCTTCCTCCTTTGGTGAATAAAATAAAATAAGCCTTTGTTACATCTCTCATAGATAGATAGATAGATAGATAGATAGATAGATAGATAGATAGGCAGACAGACTGATAAACTTATTCATTTAAACTTGCTTTTATTGTTCAATTGATTAATTTTTCCACCTGTGGAAACTGTTTGGGCACCTGGGGTTGCATTGGGATGCGTCAGTATTTTCCCCATTACAATTAATGGAAATTTTTCCCTTTCATTTAACAGCTTTCCACTGAGTGGTAAGGCTTTCAGGATCAAATTAAAATCTGTAAAAGGAATAGGTACTTAGGAAAGGAAGTGTAAATACATTACTAAGCTCAGCAGTGAACAGTATTTACATGGTCCTGATCATGAAAACGACAGATATGAATTTAATAAAAGATGTGATTTAAGCCACATGGGGAGGGTGGAAGAATTATGTGTGAAGGAGCTGTATCAGAGTTGAATATTAGGAAATCAACATGTGATATATGAATCTGAAAAATCAAGAATAGCAATATAGACTAGTGACTTAGAAAAACAGAAGTAAATGCTCGAAGCAGCATCTGAAAGCATGCCTCCGGAAATGAGGACTGGGGTGAAGAGAGGGCAGGGGCTGTTTATTATAAGCTTCATAGGACTGTTTGACTTTTTAAAGCAGGCAATAACTTTGATAAAAATTTAAATTATATTTTTAAAGGTAATAAATATTCATTAGCAAAAGCTTAGAAAATACAAATATGGAAAGAGAATAAAAGCCATTCATATCAACCCAGAAAAGCCACTCACAAAACCCTGGTTTTGAATTTTGAGTCTTTCTTCTACACATACACATATGCACATTTTTTTTAAAGTGCAAGATTGAATTGTTAATATTGTTTTGCAACATGCATTTTTCTCGAAAAGTAACTGCAGGAAATTTCTCCATATCAGTATTCATCTACTACATCATTTTAATGGCTGTATGTTCCCCATCATATGGATATACTGTAATTTATTTAGTTCAACACAACATTAACCACTAATTGTTCAATCAGCCTAATTCTTCCAACAGACAAATATAACTTAAGGTTATTTTGGAAAGATGACAAAAAAGAATTTACTCTGGGTTCAAAATTTGTCTTCAATAATTCTATTTTGCTTTACTAGCAAAAGAGTGAGAGATTTTACTCGCTTTGAGATTTTCCCTTGACAATCCACACTGTTTCTTCTTGAAATTCTCTCCTCCATTTTAAGTGTAAATGGCATGCCTATGTGGTGGATGGCTGTTCTTGCCTGCCAGTGTCCGTTTTGTGAATTTAGGTAACAGCACGTCAATTTTCCCTGGTGGAATCCCCATTCCTTCCTTCCACAATGCTCCGCCTGTGTGGTTTGGGTGAAACTGACCCCACCTTCCAGTCCAGGTGATCTCAGCCTAGTTCTTCTGGCCTCAGTGAATGGCTCAGGGATGGACGTGTGCACAGAACTGATTCAATGAGAATCAACCCCAGAACTTTTACTGGAATCTTTAGGAAAGAGGAATTCTCTTTTTTTCTCATGGAGATGGCTGAGCTGAGAAAAGCGTAAGTCTGGAGTGGCTGGAGGCCATTTGCCATTACAAAGGGAGAGCCTGCCTCAGGATAGAGCCAGAGAGGAGGAAAGAGGAGCCAAGAGATGCAGAAAGTCAGATTCCCCATGACATCCTTTGTGCACCTGGATCCAGCACTGCCTGGTGGTCTCAGCCAAAGAGCTGTATAAATGAACAGATTTCCATTTTTCACTCAATTTCTTGAGCTGGGGTTCTGTCATCTGCAAGTGAATGTGTGTGTTAATAACACAGACTCAAATAATTCAAACAGAACAGAAGACCATAAGGTGAAAATTAAGCATTTTCTTTCTTCCCCTCTCAATTTTCAGTTTAAACTCCCCAGAGGCAGTCAGTCCTTACAGTTTCTTACATATGCTTCCAAAATGTCAGTGCATTTAAAATATACCAATTTTTGAACCTATGCAAACAGGATTATACTATCTGTATTATTCTATAATTTGTGTTTTCTACTTCACCATGAGGTAAAGGACACCTTCCCTCACTGCATCCGGACATTTAGTTCATTCCTCCTAAGACCTGCAAAGGATTCTATTACCTGGACCTGCCACACACCAACCAGGCCTATATTGAAGGCCACTGGGTTTCCCAGTTTTTCACCATTAAAAACAAGCTGTGCTGAGCATCCTTCTTATGTAGTTGTAGGAGGCAAATCCACAGTGCTGAAGAAGCTGGTGCTTCTGGTCCCTCATTACCCAGAACCCTGCCAGGGGATACATTTAGTTTGGTTTGGCGGGATGTGTGTAAGTCACAGCCAGCTGCACGGTGTAAGAATAGCTTCCAGAAATACTCCTGCTGCCCACAGTGCCAACTCACAGGGGTCAAGGTACAAAGGTACAGGGCCCTAGATCACAGGTCAGTAAAAACATGTGTGAGGCTAACAGGACAGAACTGTGTAGGGAGTGGAAGGGAAACGGTCTGAAATGCACAGAGCCAGAAACTAGTCTGTAGAAGTTTCTTCCAATCATCAGAGGTATAAAAAGGGTTTTGTTTCTCACCAAAATCTGCCAGAAACCTACTTGATAATGTAGCATATATATACAACTATAAACGTACCATATATTTATTTCTTTTTTGATGGGAATCATGGGGAATAGAATATATCAAAATTTCTGTCTTTGTAGTGTGCAAATATGTACAAATACTACAGTGAGGATGCCTGTGGGAAGTAGCATGTTTTATGCATCAAAGCTATCAATAATAAAAAAAAATTCAATTTACCATGCTATAGGAAAGACTGAATTATCTTCCTGTTCTCTTTATTAAAAAAATGTAAAATTGTCATCGTATAAATAAGGAGTGATCAGAGTATACAGCCAAAATTAAAACGTAAGAGAAAAAACATTATGAGGTGCAACAGGCAGTTAATTTCTGAATTTTGTGATGGGTAGGGTATTTATAAGCTTTTTAGATTTTGTAATTTTTTTGTAATTTCTCTTCTCATTATAAATAAATATTCACATTTGTGCCTGACTTGTATATGTAATATTTTTTTTTAAAGAGGCTCTCTAAAATTGCTTGAGCTTCAGACTACAAACCTTGGACTCATAGCTGCACAGTGGCTGAACGTATAGGATCTGGAGCCAGACTGCACAGCTTCAAGTCTCAGGTGAGCCATTGCTATAGACTGGATGTTTGTGGCCCCCTAAATTTGTATGATCCAATGAGATAGAATTAGGAGCTGAGGTGGATCAGAGGTGATTAGGTCATAAGGGTGGAGCCCTCATAAATGAGATTAGTGCCCTAACAACCCACTTCCTTGTCCTTCCATCATATGAGGACACAGCAAGAAGGTGGCCCTCTATGAATCAGAGAGAGAGCTCTGATCAGAACTCAACCACGCTGGCACCTTGATATTGGGCTTCAGACTCCAGAACTGGGAGAAATACATTTTTGTTGTTAATAAGCTATCCATAGACTGGAAATTCTGTTATAGCTGCTCAAATGGACTAAGATGGCCACCTACCAGCTCTGTGACGGTGGGTAGGTTACTTCTTCTCTGTGCCTCAGTTTCCTCATCTGAGAAATGGAGATAATAGCTTCAGAGGGTTGTTGTGAGGATTAAATGAATGAACACCTACATAGAAACTAGAACCTACCAATCAGTAACAGTCAATAACAACCATGGTCATCCTTATGCATTTGTAAAGATAGCTAAGCAGGATAGGCTCTTAGAAGTGTCAGTGTATTTATGCCAATTTTAATTAAGAATGCAAGCTGCCCTCCAAAAGCAATGCCAGCTTACCCTCCCACTATGTACGTTGTGACATATGTCAGAGCTGTGGAGTTAGGAAGCCCATCTCAGATGAACCTATGGCTGTGGTTCTTACCACATTCCAGACTAGTCCAGTTCCCTGAACCTGTCAAAGTCAAGTTGGTTGATGGCTGCTGGGAATGGGGGCCCCTGCTCCCAATTAACCCATCCTGTGAATCCTATGAGCAGTTCACATTTA